TGTAATCGGTTTTGCAACACAATTTATTTTCAATATTTTTATTCAATATATTCATTAGGGTGAAGCTAAGAAACGTAAACGTTCTTATTGTACTGCTGTTGTTCGTGCAGTAATACGTATTAACATACTGTCATGAAACCATTATCTAAAACCATTATCTAATACTATCAAAAATAATATTATTTCTCAATGAAAATCTGGGTATCAACGCGAAAGTTGCTGAAAAGTTTGCAGTCACTAAGTCTGTAGTACACAAAATACGAAAACGATATTGTAAAGAAGTTCGTACATCTTTAGGAGGACGTCCAAAATTATTGTCTTGTCAGGATTAACGACGATTAACGAAGTACATAACTTCATAAGTCGCGACGATGGTGTCAATGGCTGCAAAGTTTAGAAACTGATGTTGGAAAAAAATAAGCAAACGGACGGCTCGAAGAGCATTAATAGAAGCTAATTATATCACTGGAGAAGAAGGAAAAACCTGCTCTTTCAAAGAAAAATATCAAAGCTCGTTTGAGTTTTGTCGAAAAATATATAAATTGGAATGCAGAAAAATGGAAGACCGTAATTTTTTCAGACAAGTCTAAAATAAATCGAATTTTATCTGATGGACGTTCTTGGTTTTGGAAAAGTAAAAGTGAATCCCTTCTGCCGCGTCATGTTAAACAGACAATTAAATTTGACGGTGGTTCAGTCATGATATGGGGTTGGATTACGGCGTATGGTGTAGATCCATTGCATCGAATTAAAAGTACGGTGAACCAATGCACTTACAAAATCATTTTAGAGCAGAGTTTAGTGAATATTGTTGATAATATGCCGGTACCAGAATGTGACGTTGTTTTCCAACACGATAACGCTCCCGAGCATTCTGCAAAGAGCATCAAACAGTTGCTCGAGGCTCAACAATTTCAAACGATGGCGTGGCCTGCTCAAAATCCAGATTTAAATCCCATTGAGAATGTCTGGACATTTTTCGAAATGAAACTAGCGAACGAGTATAGTGATCCACCAACGACAATAAATGATTTGTGGCAAACAGTGCAGCAACAGTGGTATTCTATTACTCTAGAATACTGCGAAAATATAATTTCCAGTATGCCTAAACGCATTTATGCCACTATTAAGGCCAAAGGCTTCTGGACAAAATATTAAATGCACACAAATTTGAAATGTTTATTTGAAAATAAATTGTGTTGCAAAACCGATTACATGGAAAAAGTTTGTATTTATCAAGATAATAATGATGTCGCAATCGGTAAAATTTGTTTGGAAAGCTAAAACATTGTACTTACTGCTATGTATTAGGTTGTCCCAAAAGTTTCTTTATTTTTATTAATACTTGATACATACACAATATTTTATGTTTTATGTTACGTTATAAAATTGTTTACAATTCATTTCGTTCCATTACTGTTACAGCATCAATGTCTGAGAAACTAGATTGTCTATTTATATAAACACTGCCACAGAAAATAATTGAATGCAACTCACGAAAGAAACTTTTAGGACAACCTAATATTTTCCTTTCTTTCCATTCTACATATATGCAAACATTATATAAAAATTAATTTTTGTAAAAATATCGTATGTGTGTTCACTTTTGCTCCTAACTGTATGTTGACGTTTAGTTTTTTTATAATTATAATTACTATCAATAATAAAAAGAACAAAAATTTGATAATAACAAAAAAAAAATCATCCGTGAAGAGGTTAATATTTAACCACGTTCTAAAATGATTAGAGTTCATAAAAAGTGTTAACAAATTTCAATCGTCCGCCATTTTGCATTTTTCAATCAGAAGTGTTCGATTCTAGTGCGGACGATAACGACAAAACGACATTTTAATAATTGATTTTTTGCTTGATAATCCAATGTCAAGTTATCGTGTCAACCATGGAAAAAAAGCGACAAATTTCAAATGACTAAATTAAATAAAATTATTAAAAGTAAACAAATAGCGACAAATTTCAAATGGTTAAATTAAATAAAATTATTAAAAGTAAACAAATACATAAAAGAAAATTTTATTTATTAGTTTAACATGTCTACTATTATATATATATAAACATTGACAGTCCACAATTATTTGTTATGTAAAATAAAGATTTTTAAGGAAAACTGCCTTTGTTTCTTTCGATAATAGACCCCTTACCTTCTCTTCGAATTAAATATTTAGAAATTAGAAAGACCGAACAAAAATTTATTCTTGAATTTTAAGATTGTTTACCAATCCAGATGCGTAGATTAACCCCAGAACCATTCATTTTTGTACACCTAGTACATGACGCATTTCTATTAACAAAGACAGCTGAAAAAATTAATCCCTTGTAGTTACTGATCACACAGTCTTTCTTCACAAGTAGGCTTTCCATCAGTCTCTATTCTTTCAAGTTCTTGACTGTGGTAGAGGCACTATACTTTTACCACTCGAGGTCCCTTTTACGACTTCGAATCACACTAAGCACGAGACCTGTTTCTACGGTCTAGTGCGCCTCAAGTGTTGTCATATACACATCATAAATACGTGGCATTCGAGGTTTCAGATATTGGTACTCTCCTCCAGAAATTTGAAATCGAGAAATTCGAATAATCGATTAATGAATAGCGAGATTCGTAATTCTACCATTCTGTAAAAAATAATCGAAATCGGATCATAGCGGAATGAAATCGTAGAATAAACTGCATATTAACCCTTTGCACTCGACGACAGCTTTATTACTAACACTTTCGACGACTAAACTTTATTCTATTGGAAAGTCGTGGATATAAAATGTTTTACTACTACTTCAAAGTATACCAGTTTAGGGATCAATTTACAAACCAATATCGCTGCGATGAGTTCGAGATTCAACGAAATCTAAGATAAACAAAGACTGTGGCTTCTAAGTCGCTCTTCGAGTTTAAATGTATTAACCCTTTGCGGACGTACATATGTCTACTCTCAACCACAAAAACTTTGTTACCGTTCCGGTTGTATGTCTGCTCTCAGCCACCACAGCAAAGAACCATACTAATCTTATGTTGTATTCCGCAGACTAAAAAGATTTAAGCCATTAGACAATAGTAATAGATTCTAAAATATTAGTGTAATAATAGATTAATGGAAAGATTAATGAAAAGATCGTTAGTAATTACATATATTCAGTTATACAAGAATATATAAACATATGGACCAGTCGATGAAATATCTACATGTTAAATTTTTCAAAGACAAAAATATTGAATATTGGTACTCTTTCTGCAACTGTAATTCCAAATAATATTTTTCAAACTGTGTTAAAGCGTAATTACGCATTCTCGCTTCTTCAGAAAGTTACCGAAGATAAGATACCATACAATGGAGAACTATAAAATATAATTTTTACATAAAAACGTTACACTAAAACACATTATTGTGTAAACATATATCTAAAGTCCACAAAATAATTAATTAATCTTGTTTATCCTTCATAAGCTTGCATATTATATATTACTGCTCGTTTCTCGGAAATTAATTCCAACCAGTACAATAGCTATGCCTACATCTAATACGACCACAAAGGGTTAATTCATATGTTTATTAATCAATGCTCATCTTATCGATGCTATGACTATCTCTCGATCATCCTTTCGAATATGGGACAATTAAATCTTACGTGTTGAAAAATCCATTGCGCAATGGTTAGTATAACATCATCCATATTAATTTTTGACCGCGGGACGATTTTTGTCGGAACTTCTACGGGGCATACTACTGCCATTGCCGCGCTCGTAGTTTAAAGCGCCCTGTTCTGTTTCACACAGAGCCGTTCAACCGTCTTGATCTTTCGAGAGCCTGTCGTTAACTAAATAGCGACGAATCAGCTGTTCCGAAAAATCAATATATCGATTGAACGTTGACACGGCTAGCCAGACAGAGACAGAATTAATATATTTCTCGTTTCACTCATGTTGAATTCATTTGTCTTAACCCATTGACAGGGTTCCCCGCATACTTGAATGCGATTCACTCGATTTCCTCCTCTTTTCTCAAAAGGGGCCAACGAAATAATCGAATCGAGCTGCAGTTGTTCAGTTTTTCAAAGACCTTTGACCGAAAACGATCGAGCTCATCAGACACGGTTCTGAATTAAAATCACGTATCAATTGGTCGTTACAATCCTTGATATTCTCGTTTATTCTGATTGTACAGGATTCAACGTAAGATTGATTGACTGAGATCGATCATCGAGACTTCGTCAATCATCTTCGTTTTCCATAATCAATCAGTCGAATAGTGCCGAATAATCTTTGGATTCAGCCAATTGATGTATCGAATTACTAATGATTGGTCGAATAGGGTTCAACACGGAATTCAACCAATTATTTATCGTTCTCGACATGCGTTGGTCGAAAAAGAGTCGTAATATCGAGACTCAACCAATCGTCACGATTTCGAAATTCATACATCAAGAAAACGACGCGTCTAGGGCAGGAATTGTCAGATGCAGCCCTACCGATGAGTCTACTGACAATTCCGAGACGAAACGCACCCACTCCGTAAATTCGATCCATTTGAATCAATCACTCAATATTAATTTGGCGAGTGATAATCCGATTGTTTGTATCTTTTAAAAAATTTGACAAGTAAAAATATGCAACAGCCCCCGCCCAAGTAGACGAAATTTTTAAATTCGACAAATCAATTTTTCAAAAATATCTCCTTCTAGAGAATGACAAGACGAAACTTTTTTATATTTACAGTTTATTCATTCGACGTTTAGTCTCAAAAATAAAAAATGTAAAGTTAAAAGTCCTTTCTCCCGAAATTCAATTAAATTTTAAAATATAAGTCGCTGTAATTTGGCCAAATCACATCGAAAATCTTTTAAATATTGTACAGATACGTAGTAGGATTCTACGGAATAGGACATCCCTAAATTGTACGTACTGAAAACGTTCCTACGCATTATTTTCATAACACTTCACGAAAACATTATTTTTGGAAAAAATAGGAGTGAAACGGAAAGAACGCGATTTGTATGATCTAATTATCCGCTAAGACAGTGTCCTCGTAGTGTTACTAGAAAGAAATCTTCGGAATCCTTTGAATCAAACATCAGGAAACACAACTTTCAATATATTTATTCTTATATTTCTATCATCCGTGTTCATAATGCTGAAGCCTTATTGATGGCATCTCCTTTTAACAACTTTTCAATTTCAGGTAATGAATTCTTCAACCACGATGTAACAAAATTCCCGTTTGCTTCGACGAGTGCTGCAGCGTACCTTGCTCCCTTCGTACTGTCGTAATTATTTTCTCGGAATAGTTGCAACTGTAATAAACAAGCATTGCTTAAAATATCGACGATCCACGTTATGATCACGTTAACCCCTTAAGGGGTCAAACCACTCTAGAAATAAAAAAAAAGACCTAAATTTGACAATTTATTTTGGGAGTGTGACAAATGGAATAGAATGTCTTTTCAGAGGGTTTATTTAACACATACTGAAGAACGAAAAACCATTTTTTTATTGTCATTTTCTGACAAAATGGCGGCGACAGAGCTCATCGTCGAAAACAGCTCTTTTGAAAACACCGCCACAGCAGGACGGATTTCTCGGCGTCTATGAGTTATGGAACAAATACTAAAGAACATTTATAATCTATATACAATTGGCTTTGGTAGTACGTACGGTTTTTCTTCTTAATCAATTTTTGTGGAAGTGGCGCACTTTTTAAACAATGAATCGACTTTTTGCCCTAAAAATGAGCATTAAATTGTTTATAAAAAAAAAAGTTTACATTCAATCAAAAAACGGCTACGTACTTCCAAAGAGAATATTGTTGTGAAGCTACTGTACAAATTTCAATTCGATCCATGTAATAGTCACTGAGAGATCCGTCCTCCCAGTTTGAACAAAGTGGTTTCGAGAAAAACGCGTTTAAAGTTTTATAAACACTTTAATCGCGCTCTGAGGCGCTGCGGCAAAATCGATCATTGAACCTTTTAACATTTCTTTTTCACTATAAATCAAATGACGTATTATTTTTATGACCCTAAAGTATCGTTTAAGGAAAATAAAATCGGTTTTTTTGAAAATCCTAGAGTGGTTTCACCCCTTAACTTATAATTTAAGCTCCAACAGTCTGGGACCAAAATATTGTGTTGACATTTGGTCGGAACTTGATAATCAATTTTGGTTCGAATATCCGATCACGGTCTCACACGTGCTTGTAGCATAAGGGTTTATCTTTAACCGACGTCCACATAATAATGTTAACTGTAACAGATACTCACGTCTTCCAAATCTTGTTCGGTGGTTAAACCGTTACTCATCGATAACACGAAAGACTTCATTACTCCGTAAGATCCAGCAAACCTAACACCAAAAAGTTATCGTTTCTTTTTTGTTATAATGCAGCTGGTTCTAATTTGTTGTTAAGTACCTCTGTGCAATATCCTGCCAGTTTGCTCGAACGAACCGAGATGCAGCTTGGGCAGCGGCTGGATTTCGAGGAAAGGCTTTCAATATCACCGATATTTCATCCTGATGGAATGTCCCTTCGTGCAGAATTTCGTTCAGTATACTAATAACGGAAAACAAAGAAAATGTGCAATATTATACACGTCGATGAAAGACAACAAATTTATTATATTATTTACAATTTTGTTGTGAGTTGCTTGTCATGTTTATTAACTATAGTGTATTATCGATAATAAGGATTACTATTATATATTTTTACTACTCTTCGAGGACGCTATATTTAGGTAAGTTATGAAATATGTTATATGAACCGTTCTTTGCACAAATCGATTAACTTCATCCTCCTCCTTTTCGAGGTCGGTTAAAATAGTTGTGAAATGCGATGAAATGATGTACAAATAATAATAATAATGCAATGTAAAAGTTCATATAAATAAAAAAAGTTATGACCATACCAAGTGCTTTGACACTTAAATTTAAGATTTTTCAAAAAGAGGAGTTATTTGATTTGTGCAGTGAACAGTGTATATACAGTTAGTGTAAGAAGTATTCGTACAGCAACCAATTTAAAATAATACTAATAAGAAAAGAAATAAGAGGTTAACATTAAAAGTAATCAACTTTTACGACTACTATATCTATACATGTATACATTCAAATTAAATCTACACTGTCAAATTTTCTTCTTTGAACGACCCTTTAAATGAAAAAAAGTTTCAATAACAAAAATTAATTGTATCTGGAAATTCTATGCATTAGAAAAATACATTAGCTGGACCAGACTCCCCCCTTAATGGCGTTGGTTGAGTTTATATATTTCTAGGTGAAATGATTACTATCGTCGATAATCATCGCGCACGGATTGCGAGCCGTCCTGCTTTAGATGTTGGCGTGCACCATTCTTGCGGTTGCTCAGCATCCGTAATGTTTCACCGTGATTGATCCGTCACCGCGACTCGCCGATGCCCCGTGAGCTGAAAGGACCGCTTTGGCTCGACGAAGAGCCCAGTTTCTCAGATCCTAAGTTTTAATGAAAGATATTATCCCCATCTACTTCGCAAAGTGTTTCCGCCCCGAGGTTTCGCTCTCACTTTGCCGAGCTATACTGCTCTCATTCGGTTCGAGCAGCCATTGCACTTGGCGGCAGATATTATCGTAAGAGAATAATTCTGATCAAAGTTATCGATTAGACAATCATTTCATTTACTTTTGCAAAATCCATGGAGCTTGGAAACAAGCGAACGACGATAACAAATGCTTCCTCTCTTCCTCGTCCTCGATCAAGGTTACTTGTTCCATGTAGTAATTCCATTCCTTTCGTGTACCGTAACGCGCGAGAGTGCAGTAGAATGTTTCACGCATATACGAAGGGATGCTGAAAAAAACACGATGTCGAGGATTCAAGGGAAACCTTGTCACGTTGAATTTATGAAACGGACGAGACTTGTTCGTTGTTTTTAAAGATTATGGAATTCTAATCGTTTGTTCTCCGAAATGATCCTTTGAAAGAATATTTTAAAAAGAAGTTGTACATCTCGATGAGGTATGAAATTATTGCCGAATATATTTTTTCGGAGAAACGAATATTTTCCGAGGACCACATTTCAAACCACTCTTTTTCTTTTTTTTGGGAATTTTTTCTCATAAACAATAGAAATTGCTTCTATATGTTATTTAACGAATTGTGCTCCATTTTGATCGAGGAAGTGAAAGATAATTTTACAGACAACTTTAAATTTTTACCAAAATCAACTGCTTAGCGAATTCTTGAAAAGATCTTTCTTTCTTTTTTTAAAAAATTGGGTTTTTACTTCAGGGAAATACTGTTTATATATTAAAATTGAAAATCTTTTTATTTTCGAACAGCCGAAATTCATGTCTCGTTATATGGTGAAAAATGCTGTGAAGCTATGAAATGGATGGGTAGTACGAGTAACTAGTAACAGAATAAATTCTTCTTCAGTAAAGACATTTTTTTGAAAATATCTCGAGATCTAATAATTTATTTGCCTTGGTACCCTAATCATTTTATACGTAGAATGAAAAGAAGAATCGATCTGTGTAAAAAAAGGTATGCAACTCTATTTAAAGAAATTATGCAATTGTTAATTGCATATGCACTGCTGCATCTAAACAAAATTTAAAGGCCTACAGATGTAGTGCTCTTCGAACCATTTATCTTTCTCCTTTGGCATTTTTTCGTAAATGCAATAATAACGGTGTTCTGACTTGAAACAATTGCGTGGACCACCCTGTATATATGATTGAAAATAGGCAACTTTTTTATATATATTTCCTGCGAAAAAAACAAAAAAAGTAGACTCTTTGGATACATGAATATTTTTTACAAATTCTTCACCTAAAGACACAATATTTTCAGTTTTGATAATTAAAATGCGTTTGCTCAATCAAAAATTACCATTTTTGTCAATGTTGAATAGAAAATTCTAATCGAAATTTCGACTAAAAAACTAACGTCCACAAAAGTAAAAACACAATTTTTATGCAGCGGATGGTAGAAAGATCTATGGCAGAGGAAATGATAAAATAATTTTTTTATACCTTTTTACTACGGTTAAATTAAATTTTGTATTCACAATTTGGTTAACGCCTCTTATGGTTTCAGAAATATTAGGAAAAATAAATAGAATTATTTCAAAGAAGTTAAAACTCTTAAAACCATTTTTCTTCTCTTGTAAGTTGCTATGTAAACTTGGCACCCGACTTTTCAAAAATTAATTTTTTTTTATAGAAAACAATAGTATTTTGTTAGTACCTAATTGTACCTCCAATAGTTTCGGTTGTACCTCGACCAATTAATAATTAAAAAAAATTCAAAAAATGGTCAGCACCCGACATCAAAATTTTTGAAATCGGTTTTTCCCGATTCTTTAGAATCGTTTGTACCAGTTTGTACCTCAATAGTTTAAATTTTA